AAAGTATTCACAAAGAAATAACCTCTTGTCATTGCATAAAGTAAGCCGGAGATATAGTCAGTTGTCCTGCACCAAATTCTCCACCTCTCTCTAAGAAGCTGTCTGTTACATGAAACCTCTCAGATGAGATCTGGTGGCACTAAACCCAGCAAGGGGTATTCATAGTGTGGCTTTCAGCACTAGCCCAGCAAGGAGCTTGCCTGTGCTTGGTCTGAGTAAGGTTTGAGGCCCTTACTTGCATAGAGTTGATTGGAGATTTCTCGAGGATACAATCCAAGAGAATGGAGTTCAACTCAAGAGTATCGTCTCAAGAGAATATGGTCCTTTGCACTGAGGGAGTTCTCTTAGGTAAGAGAAGTTCAGACCCAAATACAAGTACAAGATGAGAACCAAGTATATTCAAGTTAGAGAATCTATCTTTGTCATATCCCGTACCTCCGGATCCGGAATTCCAGATCTACTTCATTAAAGTCCGGTCCTCCATCTTGCTATTCCACCCAGCGCTCCACCTTCATCTCCGCACTCACCCCTAACTCCTTTTAGATTAGCTATTGCTCCGGTTACCGGTTATGTCCTATTCCACTATGCTTACTGATTCGTCCATTCTTACTTCATTTCCGACTTCACTGCTTTGATCCATTACACTTAGTAATAGACTTTCCAGCATGCTTCATAAATAGCCCTTACCTTTGCTGACTGATTTACTTACATGATACCCATAGTATATAAACCCCTGTAATACTCCAGAACTCCTTAGTTCGAATATCATCTTAGTTCTGCTCATTCCTGCAATCTCCGGACTTGAGTCTCACCTCTTGTCCACCTCCGAGTCTTAGGGGTTAAAACCTTAGGACTAATCCTCCGGCTCTACCTTAGGGTAGTCTAACCTCTGTTCTGTTTCTACTTCAGATTTCCATAGTAGCCTTACTCTGTCCCCACATAGTCTTCCAGAGTTCCGCCGAACTCCACCGACGTTTAGTCCTCCGGAACTCCCTGGACTTCCGTTGGACTTCCCCTCTGCCCACCAGAAATTAAGGGCACATACTCGGGTAAGGGGTGCAGTGCACGAGCTGAAGCTGAAGCCCTTTGAGTAACCTTCCCCTTGAGTACGACCTTAACAATCTTACAGGATATTGTACGTATATACGTAAAGTGAGATACCGGTTGAGTGGTAAGGGTCAAGGGTATGTATGAGTCATAGTTGGAAAGGGTAAGTAGTACCGGTTGAATGATAAGGGCAAAGGGCATGGGGAATCCCCATCAAAGGGTGGACCCGGTATATCAGTAAGGGTACAGGGGATCCATATAAGGATAAAGGGGGAGAAGCAGTGGCTTCTATGATCTAGGGGAAGAAGTGAGAGCTTCTTGTGTTGCAGAACAATGAGATCAAAAGGAAAGAGATAAGAATAGAAACATAACCATGGTCCAGGTCTGGATGAGTCTGCACAGTTTAGCCACATGTCGGTGGTCGAAAGAATGAAGAGAATGAAATAACATGTAATGCTCATGTCACAGTAACACTGTCCAAATGCCAACACTGTTTCTTGTTTTCTGATAGAACCAGAACTGATCGGAGATGCAAACCCCAAAGTCCCTTGGTAGCAATGTTAACGAAGTTCTTTATCAAGACAATTGATTAGACCCAAATTCAAAATATTTTGAGTAAGAGGCTTACTACACGTTCAGGGGACATGATATCAGGGAGGTACCAGACAAGGATTTTGCTATGGCAATCAACAATTGTAGTTGGCTCGGAAATTTTGCCTAGTGGTGACACTGGAAAATATTTACGAAGCTTTTCATGTTGTGTTGATTGTACTGCACTTTTGGCCATATCAGCATACCGTTTAACATCCCATGCAACATAGCCACCTGTGTGTCACCATTAATAACACTGATTAGTAAAGGTGATGTGATGGGATCCTCCTTACTAAGTAGTAGGGATTATCTATGCTGCAGCACTTCAGCACTTCCCGCAGCACTCAGCAGTCCCCTTAGTAGAATAAAATATCTTCGGTAAATAGTGTCTTAAAACATATGTTATATAATCTGCCTATTTCCAAGTGGCCGAATTACCGAGAATAACTGGTGGCTGCTATTTGCCGATTAACACCCCGCTGCCTCTCAATCATTTCCCACATCGTCTCAACTGCCTTGCTCATCACCCTACATGACGAGTTCTATCAATGTGCTCAAAACTTGCCCTTTTTTCTCGTTTCTTTCGCCCATTGACGTTGATAAGGTATGCCATCCCTTATTTCCTTGTATTACATCTAGATAGCTAACTGGTGAGTGTCTCCACAGCCCGTGTTTGCTATCAGCGCCTCCCCCAGTCCACTCTCCCACCTCACAGGCCAGCAACATGCGCTGTTCCAAGCACATGTCGACTTCTTCGCGGGTGAAGATGTCGGTCCTCAATTCGTCTCACTCCCTTCAAACAACTACAGCCCCGTTAACTCAAATATGGTGTGAAAGGCTGGATGACGAGGGCAGGCGAGCAGAACGCATGCGACGTGAGTAGTACTATAGTTGCCTTTCATTGTCATACTTACCACACTTCAGAAACACAACACCTTTGTGCCCTTATGGCTGAAGCTCAACTTGAATCAGGGTGAGACCACAATGATTCCATGCAGTATGATGACACCACCCTCGAATACGAGGATTTCAGGCAACAAGAAGACAACGACCTAAACAATGTCACTAGTGGCACGACATTTTCAGAATGTTTCCAGACATGTGTGCAACAACTGGTGAGCTACTTATTTCTTTTGCAAAATCCATTCAATGACCAGCACAGTGGTGTAAGAAGTCATCAATGCCAAGACCTGTGGACATGGACTCGGCGCTATCAACATGCACATGCTGCATGGTCTGAGCAAATCCCCCTCCTTGTTGAAGCTTACATGTGGTGGGCACACAACATGACTGAGACCAGCAGTGATCAAGAGGGCCATTTGTTTGGTGTAGTTGCTGTTGGTATTATGGGTATGTTTCTCTTTTTCACGTGTAGTACACACTAACACTGCCAGCAATGTGATAGACTTCACCACTAACATAGATATTCTACAACGACCTGGGGAACCTGCCAATGTGGTGCTACTGTGCTATGGATTACTCAGCTGCTCTCCAGTGCAACCCACTGTAGCTATTCATCTCCACTGTCTTGAACTCTACCATCAAATTTGGAGGTGACAATCTTCATTCAGCATTCAATCTATTACTAAAGTTCTTTGTGGCCTTCACAACGTACATTTTTTTGTTTTGTTTACTGAACATTATAATGTTTAACCCAAGGATTAGGTAACTTATTCTCGCCACTTGCAGGAGCAGTTTACAATAGCTTTTGATATATACCTTCAAGTCAAACAGCGAGGTCCATGCGATTGATCGACTGTGTGCTCAACCGAGACAGCACTGACTGGCATCTCAAAGGTTCTTGCCTGAGTTGTGCATTTGAAGTACGTCTATTGATCAAATTTCTATACTTGAGTCTAACATTATGTTCCTGCAGCAACCCAATGAACCACCACTCATTCCTCACAGACTTCACAGCATGGATGGCAACCACTCAGTCAAACCTCTGGATGGTTCAGGGTCTGCTGATCAACAGCTTGTTTCACAGTCACTATTTCATACCTGTCTCTGCAGGTTGAGCAGTTTCGTGATGATGTTCGTAACCAGCCGGGTGAACGTTCGACAAGGGACAATATTACCTGTACCAAAAAGTGGGCTGCTGCCAAGTCCATGGAGGAGGACAAGATATCTGTCTTCGAGCAGACTGGAATATTCATCTTGGCATGTCGGCATGGCTTCGTGGAATGTATCACAGAGATGAAGCGTAGCGGTGAACTGTACATCTTTCTTTTAAATGTATATACATTTGACTTCATTCTTTTCTAGCACGAAGTACGGACTTGCTGCTGTCAGCCGACTGCTTGAAGTCTGTGGTCAAGACCAAGGACTTGGCCATGACATTGGCTGCTCATCGCGCAAAACTATTGCTGCCAGTTCTATTGGCAATCTTGCCACCAGACTAAATCTTGTTGTCGCTGTCAACGCTTTTCATGGGTATGCACACAATTGCCCGGTGCCAGCTGCACCATCATCCACTTTACCTCCAAGGCTTCGGTAATGAAGACCTGGAAACATGTCAACATATTTTCTCCAGTTCTAATGGCGCTGCAGTTTTGATCTGCATCAGGAAAATGTGGATAAGGCTATATAGCCACCTATAGCGCTATAGACTGCTATACAGACTCCATAGCCCTATAGCTTGTATAGCCAAGTGCCCAATTGTGCAGGCTTACTACACCAGTGTATAGTGCTATATAGCTCTATTAAAGTTGCTATAGCTGGGTGGAACATACCACAACTATTGTAGCTATTATAGCTCAAAACACAAAGCAAAAATTTCTCTTAATAGCTGTTTGTTGCCATGATAGTGTTCTCAAAATTAAAAAAAAGCGAAAATTCCAAATTATATTTCAACTACTACAATACATGTAAACTAATAACTACAAAACAGGCAAAAATGCGAAAATTACAGGAGGAAGAGGCAAGAGAACTAGAAGGAAGAATCAGAGAGGAAAGATGAATACAAAAAAAAGAAAGACTTACCAAATAGTGAAAATTGCGAAAATTCTTGAGGGAAGAGGAGGGAAGGGAGCTAGAAGGAGAGGATCAGACAGGAGGAAGTGAGAGTCAGAGAAAAGACTTGCCAAATGGTCAAAAATGCGAAAATAGTTGGGGGGAGGAGGAGCAGGAGGGAAGAGAGCTAGAAGGAGAGGGTTAGAAAAAAGATTAGTCAAATAGTCAAAAATGCGAAAATTATGGAGGGAGACTTACCAGAGTTCAAAGCACCAGCACCAGTACCAGCACCAACAACATCAACACCAAGAGAAGGATAGAGAAGCAAGAAGAAGAGAAGAGAGGCAAAAACTCGAAAATTGTAAGAAAAATATGGAAGATAATCTAATGAGGGGGCAGTGGGGGGGGAAGGAAAGAATGGGAAAAGACTTGTTGGTTGACCGCATTTTTGCTTACATAAGCAGTGCCAAACAAAGCCACAACACAAGACTTGGTGAATTTTCGAGTTTTTGGTTAATAGGACTAGGATTATGACAGTAAGAAAAAGACAATGAAATTGACTGTTAGCATTAGGATTTTGAATACACATAAGGTGAATTTTCGCATTTTTGCTTGCATAAATAAGGTGTACCTTAACACTTTTGAACCCTTCAATTCCAAGTATTTTCCTTATAACTCACTAAGATCTTGACCTATTGAAGTCATTAGACTATGGATAGACTTCCCTTGACAAGGACTACAACTTTGATTTAATCGAAAAAAGTTCCCATGGTCAAGTTGCTTTCTTGAACCCTTCAATTTCGAGTATTTTCCTTATAACTCACTAGGATCTTAACCTATTGAAGTCATAAGACTATGGATAGACTTCCCTAGACAAGGACTACAACTTTGGTTTTCATCGAAAAAAGTTCCCACGGTCTACTGGGGTCTATAGTTGTTGAAATGTTTTACTTCTAAATACACTTACCAAACTTTATGGTAATATATAGACTTTCATGATGTCTATACTGGTCTATAGTGCTGTGATAGCTTGCCATAGACTGTATAGAGCTGTGGTGTGCTATCGGGGCTATATAGAGGATGGTCCTCTATATAGAGATATAGTTTTTCCTGATGTTTGGTGCCGAGCAGCTGCTGAAGCATAGCTGGGAGTGGGTATCAGGGGATTATCTTCCCCTGTACACCTTCCAACCTGTCACCCGCATCACGCAAGTTTGGGATGAGTATGTTGCTGGGTTGAATGGATTTCTCGCAGTCCGTGACCTTGACGAGCGCTGGCAGGCACACTGGAGACGTAACATCAGCACTCTGTGAACAGAAAACTGCCGACTGGAAAAAAATCACAGTTCTGGTCGAGACACTCACACGGAAGCCGAACTGGAGTGTCAACCTGGCACTCCGTTTTCTGCGCGAGAAGTACGAGACCCACCCTGACCTTAAAAAGCCTCGCACTGTTCTGTGAGTATCTGCAGAAGGGGGGTGGGAGTGGCACCAAGGATGCACTCGCAGCAGCTGCCAATTACCCTTGATTCATCTCTCGCTGACAGTCTTCTTCGCTCACAAGCTCGATCGAGCTCGATCTTCTCTATTTTCATTGGCATAATTTTTTCATACTCTACCTCTGTAATGAGCACATATTGTAGTATCACAGTTTTTCTCAAAAAGATCTATTTGATTCAGCAAAAAAAAAAAGAACTAGGATGGTAAGATGACGAGAATGCTGTGAGAATGCTAGCAGCAACCTTCAGTTCGAGAACACCACCAGCAAGAGAAGAATTGCACCCACAGACGATAAGATGAGAATGCTGACAACTTTCAGTTCGAGAATGCCACAGCGAGGCCTCGGAACGGGAACAGAGGAGGTTGTCTTGGGAGGAGTTGTCTTTTCAAAATGGGGAAGAGAGTCATCTGCAAAACCGGAAGGTCAGGTCATCTGCAAAATGAGGGACTCACACCTCTCTCCCTTTGTGGTATTACTGACCCTCGGTTACAAGGCCATAGTAGCATGGATCTATAAAGAAAACTAAGAGGACACAGCTGAACGAGAATGCGCCAAGGAAGAGGAGTAGAGGAAACACGCACGGAAACACACATCAAGAAGCAGCTGGCAGCCTGCAAGATGTCTCGCTCTTGCTCACAGTGTGTTCTCATCCTCATCGGTTGGCATGTATTCGGCGGGCAGCGGCAGGCTGGTAATCCTCCCTGCCTATGTACTCCACCGAGACGATGGCATCACCCAAGCGTGTACCGGTGGGTGGCTTCGTGACGCGCAGTTACCTTTTCGAGCGGCGTCACCCGTCACCTCGGTGGCGCACCGAAACCCGCATACATGTGGGTAGACTGTGTTGGTACATGCTGTTTCGATGTTTGGACTTTTTTGACTTTCTCACGGTCTTTCTGTTATCTATTGGATCCCCCTGCTATCAATTCTTTATGGATCCTTCTGGTAGTCAAGGAGTGAATTTATTGGTATGTATAGGGAACACTGTGATAGTCCGATCATAAAATATCAGTATATTCATGACATCAATACCCTGACATATTTCTGCCCAATTCTGGCTATGAGATGGCTTCAAATATGTACCACAGGTAATATATAAACAGTCTAGTAGTCTATGCAATGGTAATGTAGTAAAAAAATAGAAAATATGCGAAAATATGTTATAGTATAGGCAGAAGGAGACTTTGGATTGCTGAAAAAGATCCTGATACTGTGCTGATATATCTATATGATCAATATATTCTATATATACATAAGAATAGATCACATATTATCCTGGAGGGCTGGAGCTGCATGAAAATTTTTCCCAGGGGGAAAACTACCAGGAGAAGGTACACACATAGCACCACATGGAAGCATCCTCATGCCCTGAGCTTCTGGTATGTTATATATACACAAATGTAAGTTATGGGGAGAATATTTACAAGTGTCATATACCTGATCCGACCGCTCTGATACTGATATCCGCTCCGCTTTCTGACCCTTCCGCCCCATCCATCCTCCGCTCTGTCCAATCACAAGTCCACATTCCGCCCTACACTTCCGCTCAACTGCTCAACCAGTCCCCTTCCATAACCTCTCCATTCAACTGGATCTCTTTCCCCTTTTAGATATATACCTTCGCCATTGGTACATAGACCCTTACTTCCGGATGACCGGTAAATTCCTATTACCGCTCAATCACTGATCCGACACATACATATTGATATCCGCCCCGACTTATGTCTTCACCTATGTAAAATACTTACAAACTATATCCTTGGTACATAGCTTTACTACATAGTTATCCTGATCACTGCCTCATACATAGTAGTATATAACATATCATGTACTTAGGTATTTCTCCTCAGTCTTAATATTACTTGTCTTCTCGCAGTTATATCTTGTGAGAATTCTCAGTAGGACCTTGCCTCCTCTGGACACAAGTCTCAACTTGTTGTCACCTCCGACCCTCCGCTCCGACTTAGAGCTGTGCTCTAAGTTTTCCCCTTATTACTCTGCCCCTATCAAATATCCTCCTTCACCCCTCTGCATTATCCTCCACCTTTCCTGCCTCTACCAACATTCCCCTGCTCCTATCCCCTCTCCACATCACTCCCTGCCTTCTCTGCTCTGCTCCTAGTTGGCCCACCGCTAGTAGCTCTTACTCCCCAACCCTCAGAGTGGACCAAAGCGGTCCAATCGTCCTACCGTTGGACAACATCGGACCCGCTCCAAATTTGGGGCATGTACTCGGCTAAGGGCGCAGTGCAAGAGCTGAAGCCAAGCCCCAACCCCTCTGCTTCCTGAGTCGGCACGGTACCTAACAACAAGGCAATATGTCAAAACCCTGAAAGATCCAAATTGATTTATGTTTTGAGGGGTATGTGAGCTATCTACTAATGTAGGACACTTCAGAGATGCAATCAAGTGGTGTAATAAATCAATTTACACTCTAATACATGCTATATATCATCAGAATCGCTCCCCCACTAATGGGGCAAAAAATCGAATATGTTTTAGTCCTGGCCTCCTCAGTCCTGGGGTGCACATATTAGCACTGCAGGCTTCTAGATCATGCAGAAAGCAGTCTATTGAGTCTTTCTATGTATATATATGCAATTTACTACTTATATACAGGAGTGGTGTGTTGGAATCTGGCAAAACGAAGGAAACGGAAGACGGACCATAGAAGATGACAGTGAAACAGTACAAGTGCAACCAGTGAGTACAACGAGGCAACGCAGTGACGTCAGCCGAGGCTCATCAATATTGGAATGTCTATCTCTAAGTTATGGCCAATTTACTTATTATTTACTTATCTATCCTATCTATAGTATAAAGGACCAGTCGAGTTGTTAGAATATCTCAGGTCTTTTCATAGAGCCTGAGATGTAAGTCTCATATATTTTTCGTGTTATTCTACAGAGCTAACATACCATTAGATATTTATTCTACTAGGTACTTTACCTGCTCTTACTGAGGTCTTTTCATAGAGCCTGAGATATATTTATTCTACTAGCTCCCGCTTCGTGCACCGCTCGCCTGAACTCACTTTAGGTTAT